ACAGAGGCAACTTATGGAACAGGGAAAGTCCCTGAGAAAAGAAGTCCTCAACAACTGTCTCCTGTCATAAGGAAAATAAAAATGAGGAAGCATAGGACTTCTTCCCTATGGACCCTATGCTGAGGGCCATGGAGGATACAAAGAAAACCAAGACATCATCTTTAGGTTCAAGACGTTCACAATCCAGTGGGCAGAGTCAGCCTGTGCAGACACAAACAGTGACTCCAGACAGCATGCTAAGTACGGGAGGAGAGCAGGAGACTGCGCTGAGTGGCGATCCATGTGATAAGGAGAAGCCTCCTAAATACAAGCTTCCTGTTTGTGAAGAATCACCTTAGATAAAACCAGACTCAGGGTTATACATATAATAATGTCGCCGTCATGGGCTCATGCTTCTTTGTGCTCCTTGGAATTGAGGGTGGCGTGACAGAGCCAGGAATTTCACACACTTGACAGCTTAACCAAGGGTGTGGCCTGAGAGGGTGGCCTGGCAGGGATAGAGAACAGTGGTTGTGCCTGGTACATTCCATGGAAACAGGAGGCAGATCACAGTTCCCTGGGCAGCTGGGAAAACTTGCTGGTGGTGGACTCAGAACTGTGTTTTGAATGAAGGGCAGGATGAGTTGAATGCAGTAGAGGGCTGAACCCTCTGTTAAGGAGGTCAGGGACCCTAGAGACTGGGAGTCCAGGATCATAAGGGCAGAGTTGGGGGAGCATAGTGGGAGACCTTGAACCCTGGACTCAGTCCAGCTTACCTGTTCACTGCTGGATCCCCAGAGGCACCAGTGCCCACCCAACATAGTAGGTGCTTGGCACATCTTTGCTAAATGAATCTGTTAATCAACTGGATTGTTCCAACCAGGCTTTATCCTCTATGTGAGATGCAGAGAATTTGACAGAGAGATGCTTGGCAGCAGGTGCTCTGTGAACTCTTTCTTTTGTCATATCAAAATGTAACTGTCCTGGGTCACGTTTCACTTGTCACAGCAACCAGTTGGACAAGTCAGTACCAGGTCCAAATGAAAAACAGTAGTTTCAGGTGACCTCACTCCCAGGGGATGTTGGCATTTTAACACAAGCCTTCAAATTATTGCTTTACGGCATACATACGTTGGAGGTTGGTACAGGTGGAAGCCATGGGTTGGAGACTCTTTGAGTCTTCTTGGATGTCTCTACAGATGAACATTCTGCTTCTGAGTAAGGCAGACCTCAACTATCTTATTTCTTGGTGGTCAAGATATACAAAGTTTACTCTAGAGAATTTCAAATTCCCAGAGTCCTCTGACACTGAGATTTCCTGTGCCTTGTCCTCTATCCTCTTGTATTTCCTGTGAGGCTCTCTTCCTCAGCAGTGACTCTTGGCTATCCCAGCTAAATCCCTTGGAAGAAACCCTGATAAAAATGATAGCCCCTCCTCACTGCCTGGGCAGTAACTTGAAATTAAACTTATGCATTCTAAGTTATGCTTTTATGGACCCTTGTTTTTCTTTTTCACCAGATATTTTGTTTGGTTGGTTTCTTTTTAAAGGAAAGCTAATTAAATGGGCAGGTTAAAGTTGTTTTGCTTTTCTGATCACCAGTGCATGCAGCAGTCCATAGATGCCTGAGCACAGTGTAGTGATGATCTAGCTTCTGCCTACACAGAGAACATGTCCCCATCACCACTACCCCTGAGGCACACTTCCCTGTCCCTCAGTGACAGGAAATACAGAGCTAACTGTATTTCCTTGGAAGCTTTGCCTTTGATGCTGACCTGTGGAATACTTGCTCTTGAGATGTTACGCATGTGTGTGGAGGAAAGCCTTGTCTCATTTGAAACTTTTAAAGAGAGAATCCGCTACTTAACACCTCCACACCAAAGCAGGCAACCAGACACCAGTCTTGGTTTCACAGCAGTCAGGAGTCCTGTGGGATTATAGTCCGCATTTAGCAGCAGTGTGCGATATTTTTGGAGTTCCAACATGGAGCTCAGCACACATCAGGTTTCACTCCTTGGGCTCCGGATGGCTGCAAAGCGATGCTGACCATCCATTTCTGTCAGGACTTGTCACTTGCTTCTTCAGGAAGAAAGCTCTTAATACCCTCTCACTTGAGCTAGCCACCTTCAGCCGGGTTATTTGTGTCTGCCCTGCCCTTCTTGACTGCGTTTTAAAAGTCTGAGACATGGACCCTGGTCTACTACTCTTTCTTGGTGGCTTAAAGTCAGTTCTTTGGCTCTGGGTGGATAAATCTCCTGGCATGTCTCCAACACTGAGTGATGGTCCCACGCCGTGTGATTATGGAATCCAGGCCTCTGTGGAATAGTATATAGACAGGCTTGGGCAGTGGGGTTTCATGGACAGCTGGTGGAGGGCTGCAGAGCCACTTCCTAATCATCCTAGTTCCTAGGCAACCGTGCAGGCAGCTGAGTTGGTGTAGTCACACCCACCTGGCTTTCACTCCCTGCTCTGCCATGTATTGGTGTGACCTTGGACAATTCACCCTGCCTCAGTTTACTCAGGGCTAAGAAAATATGTACAGAGTTGTGGTGAGGAGAAATGAAAAAAATGTTTAGAAAGGCAAAAGCACAATGCCAAACATGTAATCTTTGGGTATCCCCCAAAGGTATTTTATCTTTGGAGTGTTCGGACTCAGCTATTGCCTTTAGGGATAATATTATCATTGATCTCTGAGTTATAGTCTGTGAAATAGAGTGTTTTTAAATGAGCTTTTACTGGAATGGAGTTTTAAACCAGAGAAAACATCTTCTGAATCCTTGTCTGATGACCATATTTTTGGAAGTAACCTCCAGAGCAGGGATTCCTATTACCTGCTCCCCTGCAGTGATGTCCTAAGTAGTGCTAAGCTTGTGGCTGGTCCCAAAGATGCCATTGAAAATAGGGGAGTGGTGTCTTCGAGCCATGGTGGCCTCCTGGGCTCACCATGGGTCTCACGATAGCAAGCTCTGGTCAAGAGCTGTGGAGCTTAGCTAGGTAGGGGGCAGGAAGAGCCACAGCTAAGGCCATCTGTCATCAGCATTCATAAGCCCTCCTGAAATTGTCCTACCTTTTTTTGCTTCTTTAAGAGAAACTACTGATGTTTCTGACTTGACAGTAGGACAATAAAGATTCCTTCTTGCTCCCTCTTAAGGGGCATTCAGAATAGGCAGTCAACCAGTTGGTAAGGAGGGAGGGAGCAGTTTTGACCATGATTTGATGCAGATCTGATGAGTTGTCAACAGCAACAAAATGGGGCTGAGAAGGAGCCACAAGCTCCAGATGTCCAGGTTGACACTGCTGGGTGCCCTGGCAACAGAACAGGCCTCAGTGGTGTGGCAGAATCTGCCAACTGCCACCCAGATCTACTCCCTTTCTCTGTAGGACATAGCCTCACGTCTACTTAGGGCTGCAGGGTGTCCTTCTGAGGAGCTACATTTCCCAGTTTCCCTGGCAGCCGGAGGGGCCTGTGACAAGGCTCTGGCTCTGGTTAAGGAAAGAAGCTGTCATGTGGGACTTCTGAGAAGTGTGCTAAGAGGACTGACTCTACCGGAGGTTGAGATTATTGGTCCTTCCAGTGTCCTTCCAGGCTTTGGACTCTAATCTGGATGTGCTGCTTGACATTCTAGAAATCATCTTGAATGCTGAGATGACTCTCAGGACAAAAAGATGTGCTGTGATGGTAAAGCAAGATAGAAAGAGCATGAACTTAAAACATTTAAAAAATTTTAAGTTAAATTTTTTATTTTGAGATAATTATAGATCTGCATACAATTATAAGAAACAGCACGGAGTTACCTGACTACCCTTTATTTAACTTCCCTCTCAGTAACATCTTGCAAAATCACAGTGCATCTTCACACCCAGATCTTGACTTTGATACAGTTAAGAGTACTGTAAGTGTACTTTGATCATCACATCCATTTTTCCCTGCCCCCACACCTCCTTAACCTCTGGAGACTACTGACAGGGCCCAACCTGGATGAAGGCAGAGCTTTCAGTACAGGCCTGTACTGCTTACCCACAGAATACATTTTGATTGAGTCACTGAGAGATATAGCTATCTCTATATATTTTAAATGTTTTTTAACTAGCATATAATAGTTGTACGGGGGGTGGGTGGATAACTGTTACATTTACATATGTGTTTACAATATATCTGAATTAAATTCACCCCCTCCATCCTTCTCCCTCATCTACCTCCCCCTTCTTAGGACAGTTTCAACAGGTTTCATTGTTCTTATTTTCATACATGAATACAAAATAAACCCACGATATTCGCCCTCCTTCACCCTTTCCTTATGCCCTCGCCACTCCCACTGCTACCCATCCCTGGACAAGACCTGTTTTACCTTCCTGTTCTTCACTTTTAAGTGTATACTGATAGTTCAAGGGGGGTTCATCTTGGAATTTCAGACATGTATATATCATGCTTTAACCAGATTAACCTTTTACTACTTACTCTAGCAATCTATATTAATTAAGTCATGTCATTAAAAAATGTCATACAGCCAAACAACCCATTTAATAAAAGAGCAAAGGTCTAGAAAACAAGGCCAAAGAAGCATTGTTTGATTAAAAGAAAGACTTGTAACAGTGTTATCAAAGAAGAGGAAACCTAAATCAAGAAAGAATTAGAGTTTGTTGTTTTTATGTACTGTTGAATATCCTCCCCCCCCAACAGACACATAATAACAATGGTGACCCTGGCTTTTATTAGATGGCTTTGCTATTTTTATTCCTTATTTGACTATCAGCTATAATTTATCTTAAAATATTCTGGCTGCTGCAAATATTTACAATAATTTATTACACTCTAAAGTCTGCACTTATGGTTTCTGGAGGTGTTGGCACTGCCTTGGGGGTTTCAGTTCTGATTCTCAGAAAGAGATTAGTAGGGAAAATAAACTTGGATGTTCAGAAATGTCCTAGAATTTCAGTTAGAATGTACCAGGCTTGCTGGGACCACAGGAGAGTTCTGGGGCCTGTCCTACCTGGCTGCTCACACTGTACTTTCCTTTCCAGGGGCTGGAGTCAGAGAGGATGTGTATCTCATCTGGAGAGAGATGGAGGAAGCCTGCAGCACACTGGCCCAGGTCCAGAGGCTGGTGGCTCTAATAGACAATGGTGGGTGCTGTTTATGGTCCCTAGGGTAAAAAAGCCATAAATATTAGTAGCTGGGGATGGGGGTGGTTCCATATTCCTAACCAGAGAGAGGTTCTTAGCTCAGCTCTGAGGAGCTTTTGGGAGCACCCCCCAGAGTTATGTGTGTACATGTATGTGCACACATGTGTAGATTCTCAAAGAAGAATCAGAGATGCTTCTTTAGGAACTGTTGCAAGAAAATAGGTCTGAGTCCAGAATGGGGGCTCAATTCTGAGTACAACATGAACAATGGGAATTTATAGCCACAGAACTGGGGTATGGGGGGCAGTAGATGGAAAATTATTAAGAAGAGATCTCACTGCTAAGGAGGATGCTGCATAGCCTAACAGCAGGATTCTTGCTGAAGGCAGGTTCGGTAATCTGACACTTCCAGGGCAGGAGTGGTGGTGGTGGTGAGGAGCTTGATGAAATACCAAGGGTGATCAGATTTAGCAGCATTTGGCCAAAGCGCAGATATTCAGACACTGCACAGAAGTCTAAAGGTTGGGGACCAGTTGAGAAGAGGACACAGAGGAGCCTGACTCAAATTTGGCCAAGGGGAGAATCTATGAAGAGGCTTGTGTTCTTCAAGGAACCATAAAGAGCAAAGGAGAACTCAGTGATCAGGTCATCAACATTGGCCCTTCCTGCAGACTGCTCATACTCAAAATGACTGGGGCAAGCAGTCATCCATGCACCCTCAGATAACTACCAGGAAGGCTACATTCATCCTTTCAATTCTTATTTAAGTCCATCTCCTTTTTTTGAAGAACCTCACTGCAGAAAGGGGGCTCAGGCCAGGGAAGAAACATGGGGTGTTTGTCTGGAAGGGATAGGGTAAGTATGCATTTGTATTAGTAATATTAAAAAGAGAGGACTAATGTCCACTTGCATTTCTTGGTCTTTAGCCTAGAGCTCTTCTTTGTAATTGGGAATAGCCACTTGAAATTTTAGAGCTCACATGACTGATTCACTCTCTCTGAATGGTAATGACCACAATGATGATGACCATTTAGTGAGGACTTATGTGTCAGGTGTTGCCCTAAGGACTAAGCTCAAATTTCGTTCATTTAATCCTCATAACTTTAGAGGGAGTTGCTATTATTGTCCCCATTTGGCAGGTAAGAAAGCTGAGGCACCAAGGAATTAAGTCATTGGCCCATAGTCACAACAGTCAGCAAATGTATAATCTGGTTTTGAACCAAAATGTAGAACAGACACTTTCTTGCCTAGTTATATTTGTAAAAGAAAGTTAACAGTGATGCAGCGTTCATCGGATCATCACTTTCTTCATTTTTAATTACATCACATCTATCCTATCCTGAAAAACATCAAAGCTCTGGCCTGGTGTTAGATGTGCTCTAGCCCCACTTCACCATAAAAGCAAGCTCGAGGTGTTTTTATTATGAATGACATTGAAAAGTATCCACGTCCCCATTTCTCCCCCCACCCACTCCATCAGCTAAAGCATTTTTCATAACAAAGGGCCTGAGTTTTGGAGTGAGAAAGACTTAGTTATAAATCCCAAACTCATTAGTAGATTAACCTGAGTTAATCTCTTTCTGTCTTAATTTGCTCTTCTGTTAAGGGACTATAATGATATCAATTGGAGGGACTGCTATAAAAATGAAATAAAATTGTGTGTTTGGTGCTATGCAGGCACTTGAGAAATGCCAGCTTGTTCTTTTCCCTTTCTCATTCAGGGGTGTGGGTAGACTGGTCCTCCTATGTGAATTCCTGAATTAGTGGAGGGCTTTCCTCTCTACTGCTATTCCTGGAAATAACAATAGTGAACAGTAGAAGCACATACCTTCCATATCAGGCACCGTTCTAGGCTCTTTCACACATTAACTCATCTAATTCTTACCACAATCTTAGGAGAAAGGTTCTACTACATTATTTTCTCCAATTTGGATTAAGTAACTTGCCCAAGGCCACATTGATAGGAAGTGATAAAGCTTGGATTTAAAATCTACTCCATCTATAAAAATAATGATGTCTACCTCCTACCTTAAGACATTCTGATTTAATTCATATGGAATGACACTGGGATTTTTGCGCATTCCCCAGGTGAGCCTAACAGACAGCAAAGCTTAGAACCACTGCAAGGCCACAGTGCCCCCTGTAACAGAGGTGCCCATGGACTACCAGGCTGGGTGGGAACAAAGATGTGTTGAAAGAGGAGAAATGGGGACAAGGATATGTGTAAAGGGAGGAAGGGAGGGGTTTAGGCGTGGGCAAGCTTGCCAAGAGTGACTTGATAGAGTCCTGGTGACAGTGAATTTTTTTCCTGTGACTGAGTGCCCAGTGTGGGATGGAGCACCAGAATCGGGTTGCTTTACCACCTCTCTGGAGGCTCCAAAGGAAGGACCAGCCATGTTTGTCTGGAATTGCTGCTCACTTGAAGGGACACCACACCCAAAAACTAGGAGAGTCCCCAGTCATCCTTAGAAATGAAAATTAAGCAAGGGACTCAGACCAAGTAAATACCTCTGCCAGACAAGGAGGATGGTGATCCTGCTGCTAAGGTGTTTTTTTTGTGGGAGTGCTATGGACTGAATTGTGTCCCCCAAATTCATATGTTGAAATTCCAACCCCATATGACTGTATTTGGAGATAGGGCCTTTCAGGAAGCAATTAAAGTTAAGTGTGACCATAAGGGTGGGACCCTAATCTAATAGTATTACTGTCTTCATAGGAAGAGGGAGAAACATCTGAGAGCTCTCTTCTTCCACAAGTACCATGTGAGGACATAGTGACAGTCAGCTAGGAATAAAGGCTTCACCAGAAACCAAGACTTCCAGCGCCTTCGTCTTGGTTTCCCAGTTTCCAGAAACTTGAGAAAATAAATTTCTGTTGCTTAAGTCACCCAGTCAGTGATATGGAAGCCCAAGAAAATAACACAGGGAATATTTAAGTTTGGCATAGTTAGTTTTAAGGATTAATAGAAGGTTTTATATGTTATTTCCTAAGGAAATGGAAGAACTATGGGCCTCTGAATTTGGACAATGATCTTTGTTCAATATAACATATACACATCCCCAAATCTAAAAACTGAAATAACACTAAGCAGACATTTTTCAAAAAAAATATTTTGAATACACTATTTATATTTTAAAAGGAAAACTTTGTCAGAACTATTCCTCTTACTGGGTAATCATCTAAGCTTTTATAACCTTGATTTGGCCCCAGTATTTGCATGTTGAGTATCTGGTATGCTCCTGTTCCTACCCACAACATAGTGTTAGTGAGGCAAAGTTTGACTTAGTCTAAGATCCTGTGTCTGCTTTGTGGGAAGGCAGTGGCCATTCCTTCAAGTTGACTACTCAAGGCCTCAGGACAGAGGGCAGCCAGTGGGAAAGGGGAAGGGGCATATTGGCCAGGTGCCATTCATTCCATGGGGAACCTTCAGTTGATTACACATGGGGATAGCCTTCCCCATGTTCCTTCTCCCCAACCTGATGCTTGGGATGAGAAGATGGTATGGCCAAAACTGGTCATTTTGACTCTTTTAATTCCCAAGAACAGGAAAAAATTGACAAAAATATACAAAACAACATTTGTAAACACACTCAACACCAAGCAACAAAGGCTAAAAATCCATGAGATACAGCACAAAAACTAAGTGAGCTGTAGATTCTCCCAGCTGACTTCCTTGAGAGAGTTTACATGTCATGGTGCATGGAGCAAGAGACCAAGGAGAGCACAGCAAACTTCTTGAGTTTGGGAGATAGAACTGAGTCTGGAGAGACCAACACAGCTACAATTCATAGCACAAAATGCCAGAGAGGAGAAAAATCTTCAGCAGATTCATTTGAGTACTGATCATCATGTGAATCCGACACTGGGGAAAGGAGCTATTGAAAAGAATTTGAAGAAAAAGGCATTGAGTTCACGCAGACTCAGAAATAGAGCTTGTTCTTACCTTAGTAAAAATCTTGCCTTAGTAAAATGGGCAATGATTAGCTTTAAACTGAGGAAATCATCAAACTAGGAAATCATCAAAACAAGACTCAAGAACAAATTGTTTCTTGGTAACATAACTGCATCTCAGAACAAAGCTCAAAAAGATTTATAGGAATGCAAAACCATACAGTACCCAACAAGATAAAATTCACAATGATTAGCATTCAATCAAAGATTACCAGGGATGAAAAGAAGCTGGAAAATATGACCCTTAATAAGGAGAAAAATCAGTCAATCAAAACTGACAGAGAGAGGCAGAGCAAGATGGGAGCTGAGTTAAGAACCTCTTGTAATTGTCTCCCAATGGACACACCAAACTATTTTCACAAGAGCTAAGGAAATTGGGTAAGAGACCATAGTGACTGCTTTTAGTATGACAAAACACATATTGAAGAAGGCATGAAAGAAAAAGTTGACTGTGTCACCCCTCCTCCAACTCTAAGGAGCCCACTGTTAAGTCCAAGCCTTAGACTTGAACCCTAGTAAAAATAGCTAACATGTCATAGTGAAACCCAGCACTTGGCAAAGCCCTACTACACCTATCATCAGGCCAATACTTGCAGACTGTGCAGCGGGAACTGTGTTAGACCAGGTGGCTGACTGCCTCCACCACACCTTGCACACTCTTGGCAGAAGAGTGGAGAACAAGACTCCACTTGCTGGGGAGCAGGGCACAAACCTAGCAGAGGGCTTTGCCTTTGGGCTTAGTCCCAGGCCTGCTGTGGTGGTAAGACCCAGAACCTGGTAGAAACTTGTACACAGGCCAGAGCCACAGACAGAGCATCTAAACTGATCCCAACATCAGTCAGAGACCTGCATGCTGATGGGACAGATTCAAGTTCTGCCCTGAATTATTTCCAGGCTTGGAGTGGGCCCAGGACACACCTGCCCTCCTTCCAAGGCTGCACATGCCCCTATTACTATAAGACTCAAGTGAACTCCCTCTTGGTGAACAAAGGACTGTTTCCACCACCCATTATCCCTGGATATTACAGCAATTACCAGGCCAGTGCTTA